TAAAGATATTATATTTAAAAGACTTACAATAATTTCTAATGTGTTTTTGAATTGAAATACAATGAGGTAATTTAAAATACGCAACTGACGCAATTAAACTTTTAACGATGTAAATATCTTTATTTAATTAAGTTACATTTATTCAGGTTGCACTTTTCCGTTACGCATCAAAACCTCATAATAAGGCCTGATCTCACATGCAAAGTGATTCAATGATTGGCAGTTGAAACATCACATTTCTTTCTTTCTTTGTACATCATTTGACATTACAGTCCCAGTTTCTTCCTTTACAGATAAACATGCTGCATCTAATCTAGTTTGTACAATCACGGATGCCATCTTGACACAATTGTCAAAGCTCAACGCATCTTCTCCCTGAAGAATGGCACGCAGAACAGCACAATCATTGATCCTAATGATGAAATGATCACGAAGTCGGCTGTCTCTCTCTGAAGGCATGAACTTGCATTCTTGAGCTGCTCGGATCACTCGATGCGCAAACGTTTGTATCAATTCTTCATCGCCACGATAAGTTTTCTCAAATTCATACTGTGAGATTAACAATGATTTTCTAATTTCCCATGTTTTCAGCGTCGCCACCAACTCTTCGTAGGAAACGTCCTCAGGCAGTTCAGGTGCTGTTAATTCCTCCATGGTCTTGTAAATCTTCGACAGCAGAGTAGCAAGCAAGTACGCTACGTGTCAATCGGAAATAAAAGTAATATTGTTCATCACAAAAAAAGAAGTCAACTACCAAATAAATCGCTTTGGCTGTCCATTTTCATATTGGGGAGATAATAGACACGGCCGGTTAGCTTGTTGTTTAACGATTTAGAAGCCATTTTTTCTTTAATATTTTTATTACTTATCAACATTTCAACATTTTTACAACAAATTTGTTCACTATATATATATATTTTTTTAAATTTTAATTCACGTCCACAAGGCCGAGACGGCCACTACAGACGAGGAGGCTACTTATTTGCGGCTATAACCCTCTCTCAACTCTATAACTCCAAAACACGAACCTTGACGAACAAGGCCGCTGCGCGGAGAAACGAGTTAAGCGCGGTACTACCAGGGACGTGGTGGGGATCGAACTCGGAACCACTCATTTATAAAGCGAGCGCTCTACCACTACACCACTACCGCATAATACATACCGCATATAGTATTTAAAAATTCAACTTGTGACTCTTGTCAACAATTAGTGGTCGTTATACAAAAGATTATAATAATAAAAATATGCAACGTGTGACTTTTGTCAATAATTAGCTTTGTTAATTATTGGCAAATTATTGACGCACATTAAAATCACAACACTTTTGAAAGAATATTCAATTTTCTTTAAATATCAGAAAAAGTAATCTTATAACTATATAAATAACCATATAAATCATTTAAGAAATTGGTCAAACAGGTTAGCAAAAACTTGACTGGGATGTGAATGCTAGCAACACTTTTAACTGAGTAAAATGGGTAAGATAAACAATGTTGACACTGTTCCTAAATATGAAATTCCTAAATATGAAATTCATACCAAATGTCTTTCACTTTCAATATTTATATACTACTTAATGATAACTTATTAAAGACATTGTTAAACAAATACTTATAGAAAAGTCCAAGAACTTACAAATATTCCAACAGTAGGAACCATCGCAAAGAAATACGAGCAATATGAAGAATTTGAAATTTGTATTGGATGAAAACTGAAAACAACTTCAAGAGATGAGAGCGAAACTATAAGAATGATTAAAAAAAAAATTAATTTGAAAGCGCAAAAAATATAACAAATCATCTGAAAAACTAAACAGGAAACTTTGACTAATATTATTTAGAAATTGCATTCATAAAGCAAGATGGATGTATAATTGTAAAAAATTATTTCTAATAAACATTATATGAAGAGAAAAATGAATTATGCAAAAATGTATTATTTAATGCCAGTATCATTTCGGAAGAAAGTTTTTTGGTCTGAAAAAAATCTGCAGGTGCACAAAGAGATTGGCAAAAGAGGTGTTAAGCTTTTCATTAGATTTGCACAGGACAAACAGTTATACATGAAGGTTGAACTGTAATGTTACAAGATTATATGACATGGAATAACATTGGTAAATTTGAATTTATTGATAAAACTATGAATGCTGATTTTTATAACAATATATTAAACCAAAATTTAAAATCTTATGCTAAAAAAATAGACGCTTTAAAAAACTTAAAATAGTTATTTTTTCTTATTTTTAAGCAATGTTTTTCTGCAATTTTTTGAGTTTGCTTCATGTAACACAAATCAATATGTAAGTTTTAATATTTCTCCATTTTTTATAAATTCTGTATCATGTGAACCTTCTTTGTTCAAGTTTTCTCATTGTTTTAGGTATGCTACAGTCTAGGTTCACTTTATTAGTTTGGATCTTTCATTAGTTTATTATAAAAATATATATTGCCATTTAAAATGATTCTTCTTTGAAGTGCTTTTATGGTTTCTTGAATACTATAGTGAATTTCATCAATATATAGTTTAATTATAGCTTAATTATACGATAGCAAACAAATTCGAGATTTCAAGATATATTCCAAGTTACTAATCTAACATTGCTTAACTATGTGTAATATTTGAATTAACCTCTTATAACTAGACATTTAAAAAACTGAAGTTTGTAGAGTTTCACAGATACATATCTCTCATTTTTGTGAATGTGCTTGCAAAAAGTGGTCGTATAATTTTTCCATATTTATTTCTGTTAATGGGTATTTCTGATTAGATTCCGCAGCAGCAAATTTCCAAACTTTAAATATGATCCACTACTTCCTTTAAAATTTTGTCAGTTGTTATCTTTTAACAAGCTTTCTAGGTTTATCTTCTATGAACATCATAGTTATAGACTCTTTTTTCTTTAGGCATTATACACCACCTTTTAACTTATGTCTAGTGTTTCTAAATAAAATTGCAAACAGTTTTATTTAGAAAATAGGAATACTTGTCAATAGAACTAAATGTGGGCACAATGTATAACCTCTATTTGCAAGCAGTTTTACAAAGATGAAGTTATGGAGAATAAAAAATTAACTTTTGGTTTTGTAATGTCTAACCTTGACAGGAACTTCTAATAAAATGTTATTTAATTGCCAAGAACAGACAGAAGTTGCATTATAAAAGGAAACTAAATAGTATAATCATACAGCTTATGAAGTCAAAGCAATCATACTTTGCTATATGGAGTGAACTGATATCCAGGAGTGCAGATAACGATATTGCTTCAGCTGTAAAAAAGATTTTTGAAAACATTGTAAAGGAGAATCTTACAATAACTAATATTATCACATGGAGTGACAGCTATACTCAAAACAGAAGTAGCATAATGATTTTTGCTATAATGAATTTTCTGATACACCATAAACACATAAAGTTTGTTACCATTGATATCAATAGAATCTTTTGTTGTTTTTAAAATTATTGTAGTGCTAAATTCAGAATACTGTTTGTGTTCGACCAGCCATCTGAACCACAAGAAACCTTACCCGATATAAACCTTTTGCATCTCAAACCCAGAATTAACAAAAAGAAATTATAAGTTAAATCAGAAAAAACTGAAAGACCTAAAAAAAAAAAAGTTAAAATTTATGAGCAATTTTGTCAGAGCTATTGTTATGCAAATGTTGGAATAAAGTAGTAATTAACCAAGTATGATCAAAATTATGTATCTTTACTACAACGAATGTATTTCAATAATAAACATACTCTGTGTACATGTACTATGCATTATTATTTGTTTAAATTCAGAAATCATGTCAATTGCTACTTAACTTCATTACGAATTATTTAAGTTGATATTTATTGTTATGTTTGCATGTTCATAAACATGTTTTGTTAAAACCATTCTTTTTTTTTCAAAGAGTTGTGTTAGTACTTAGTTGATTAGTGTCCTATTTTATTTTTGAATTGTTAAAATCAGTTTGTGTAAAATAAAAATGTCTGAACTTTTTAAACCTTATAATGGAACTTGAATAAAAAGACCCCTGTCTAAAAGAGTCTATACTCTTTGTATTCTATTATATGACAAAAAAAAATAGAACTTTATAACTTAAAACAACTAGGGAGAGGACCTGGTTGTATTAAGTTATCAAAGAGGACCTAAAAAAGTGCTGGCTCAAGATCATTTTGTGTTCTCCTTGTCTAACTGTGTTTACAACCTTTGCATTTAGAAACCTAAGGAATTAAACTTACTTTATTCAAACACTGTACTTTTTTTGGCAAAATGTTGGATTACAGTGCCAAAATCTACATCAATAGTTTAAAGCACAAAAGACAGATGTCCATATCTGACAGTTTTAAGAAAACAGGTTTTTAAAGCTTAAGATCCTCAATTAATTAAATAATTATACATCATTTCAAAAGATCAATAAAATTTTAAATTTTGTTTATTTTTAATGTTATTATTTATTTTTAGAAATATACATAGAAATAAATATGAAGTAGCATTGTCAAAAAAGGTGGGCATGTATCCTTTGTGCTGTATACTATAAATTTGTTTTGTAATATAATTGTTATCATAATTAGAGCTATAAAAAAATTGAACGTTAATGTTTATGACCCTGGTACAGTGCATCGACTGTACTGAGTGCAAATTCATACTAAATATTAACCTTCAAAAAAAAGCTACTTTATCCAATAATGTTAATATAAATATAAATATAAATATAAAGTTATTATAGTTATATGCAAAAAGGATCTTAAAAGTTATTATTGTGTTAATATAAATATAAAGTTATTATAATTATATGCAAAAAGGATCTTAAAAGTTATTATTGTGTTTGTACATATATACAATGTTTTCATATTTGGTGTAATATTTTTGAGTGAACTGAGGGACCTAGTGTTATATGTTGATCTTTGAAATCTCTTTATCTCAAAACTACTAAAAGTGAAGATAGAACCCTATTGTTTTAAGGTCACGACGACCAAATAAAAAACTTTTGTAAAAACAATGGCAAACCTTTAGTTTGATAGGTAATAAATGGAACATAACTTCTTCTTAAAACAAAATTGATATCAGAAGGCATAGTAATGCTATATAAATAAATATGTAAACAAAGTAACTTGTAAAGTTAAGCAAGTAGCAAACATTTCGCGCTTTAAACTGAAGTTTTTATTTAAATTTAACGGAAGAAGGAGATTTTAAAAACAAAGGTGAAAATTATAATTAACGGACCATTTAAAATCTTCACATTAAGTGAATTAATTCGGTAACTAACTGATCTGGTAAATAAATGGTTACTTAAAAACGTAAATTGAAAAAAAAAAATACTTATTTTTAAAAATTGTGAATTATACTTTATGATTATTATTATTATTATTATTATTATTATAAAATTTAATAGTTTACTATTATTAGTTTTTAAATTCTTATGCTTAGTCAAATAATAAGCGGCTGTTTTTCAAATTCAAAGGAGATTTGTTTGAAGCAGTTTATAAATATAAAATTAATACTCATATAAAACTCTTACCATGGGAGTTAAAAACTTTTCTATTACGAAGAATTTGTCCGCTCCGTTTAATATTTCTGATACATCTAAATTATCTATTTTTATAAAATAATTTTTTTTATAACATAAAACTTAAACAAAAATCTACTTCCAACTTTAACATTTGTCTAAGGTTGTCAGTAGTACAAATATCAAAATAATAAAAAAAAAAAATATTAAAAAATATTAGAAAATATGATGCTGGCTGTATATTTACGCAACAGAATCTATATACAATGAATTTTTTTTTTAAATAAACCTTGAAAGTTAATAATTTTAAAAAATATTTTTTTCCTTAAAACTTTGTTTAAAATTTTAAAAAATCTTAAAAATTGTTTGTAACCAAAAAAATTGTCAAAAACTTATAAAAAATTTCATTATGATAGAGTAAAAAATGTTTTATAAATGTTTTTTTATATTATTATTATTTAATCTAATTTTGTAATGCTTTTTTATGTATAGTTTTTTTTTATTACAGCTTAATAAAATGCTTCCACAGAGTACAAAAGAATCAACTAAAACAATATTAGTTAAAAATAATCTTTCTGAATGGTTTCAAAATAATTCAAGAAAACACTATTTTATCAAAATGTTTATAAACGAATGTCCTTCAGAAATCTTAGAAATTTTATCTACTATTCTTGAACCTGTTTTACATAGAGATTATGAAACAGTTGCTATTGAAGAATTGAAAAACCAACTGCTAACTAATATTCATTTAAATTTTTATGGAGTATGTAACAAAAAAAGTACATCAAAAAATGATAATTCTAATGGTGGTTTAAAGAAAAAAATAGTTTTTTCAAATGAGTATTTATACAAACAGGGTCTAGCCGCTCTAGCTTGTTGTGAGTATAATAAAACAAAAGAATATTTTTCATGGAATTCTAAAATGGAAACATTTTTAAAAGTAATCAGTAAAAGCGAAGTATTTGATTTAATTTACTTAACTAATAAAATTCAGCATTATCTAAAAAAAAGAAAAAGTATGCTACCAGACAAGTTTTTAATTCAGTGTTTTCAGCTTTTAGATCAAACAGATTTGCTAAGTGTTTCCCAAGTTTGCAAACATTGGGAAAGTTTGATGCTTCATGCACAAAATAAAAAATGCCACAAAAAAAAACTTTACAAATTCGGCAATCAAAAAATTAATTGTGAATATCTTTTTCAAACAACAAATATTTTTGATACAGATAAAAAAATAGAATTACTATTAAACAATCAGCTAAACGTTGATGTAGCTTGTAATATTCATTCAGATAATACTGAAGAAAAGACTTCTGACAATAATATATATATTGATAATTTAGTTCAAAGTTTGAAACAAGTTGAACATGATGAAGATAAAGAACCAGAAGGAAAAACAGAAATCTCCACTGAAGTGAATGAACTTTATAAAGCACAGCTTAGTAAAAGTTCTGAATGTATTATTTCCCTTCAAACAACGAAAAAGCCAAAAAGTCTAAAAAATTATTCCAAAAATGCATACGACATAAGAACTAATTGTAGTGAAGATCTTATTAATCATGTAAAATCTGATGATGGTGTACAACTAGCTCAGTTGTTGAATAGAACAGTGAGTAATTATTTTTTAAGTTTAATGTGTTTTATAAATAATAAAACAGCGAGTAATTATTCCTTAGGTTTTATGTGTTTTATAAATAATAAAACAGTGTGTATTTATTTCTTCTGTTTTATATATTTTATAAATAATAGTGTGTAAAAAACAGTGTGTAATTATTTCTTCTGTTTTATATGTTTTGTAAATTTGTTAACATAATAATTAAAATAATATTGTATTTTTATTATTTTAGAGTATAAAACACCAAGACTCATTAAAAACTAAACTTATGCATAAATTAACTGAAGTAACAATTAATGGCTTAAAGTCTTTGAAGTATGTCAGAGAATTAGAAGTAATATACTTTTTTTAATATGTGTTTTATATTTTTTTGTTCGAAATACTTTTGAATTAATTTTATATTAAAGATATTAAAGCAATATTTACAATACTATTAAAAACAAAAAACAACAAACACATTAATAATATTAACATATGCTACTTAATGACATTGTATTTTTTATATATACCAACTTAAATAAGTTTTTAAATATATATATATTTTTTTTTGCATAAATCTGGATGTTTCACAATTGTAAAGCTAAAAAGAGAAGAGAATGAACAAGATAACATTAATAAAAGTTAGAGAAAAACTGTAATTTAAAAAAAATTATAATCTGATTTTTTAAGTAGATAATATGCATTTATATATATAAAAAAATTGGTTTAACTAAATAGTTTCATATAATGCTATATACACGACGTAATAAAATGTAAAACTTCTAAGTTGTATCTAAATTTGCTTTAGCCTTTTATGCTAAATGAAACAAACTTGCTAGTTAACACTGAACAATTGTAATTAAAAAAGTAAATATATAAATAGAATAGATTTTATAAAAATAATCTCTTTTTAATTCCTATTAATGATATTAGTTCTTAATTCTGAAGTAATAAGAAAATAATCATTAAGAGTTAAAAAAAGATTTAGTAAAGTCTATCAATACTTAAAGCAATAAATTTCTTGATATTATTAATAATTGAATTTAACTCTTGATTTATAAAAATTTTAGCATAATTTTAAAAGATTATTTTGTAATTTTATGCAGGGTCACACTGATGCAGTTTTGTGTGTTCAGTTTGATGCAAAACGTGTAATCACTGGATCTAAAGATATGTCTGTTAAGTAAGAATCATCTAATTGAACTTGCTGGGTAGAGTGCGTTATATTTGTTTGTAATGTATTTTTTTTAACAAACATTCCTTATTTTTAGTAAAAAATGTAATTGTTTTTAAGGCTTTGGGACATTCGAAGTGGAAAGAATTTTTTTAACCTCACTGGGCATCAGGTATCATTTTTTTTTTTAATTATTTTTCTCAATGATTTTATACATCAATAAGTTTTTATTTTTACTGCCATTATTCTTGTTGTTATGAATATTAATACAAACTTACTACTAACAAATTATGTAGGGTAAAGTGTTGGAATGTTATTATATTATTGTGGGAAAGAGTTTTTAATTTCAAAAAGCTCTCTACAGTGCTAACAAAAGATCTGTGTCTCATACTTACAAAGTTCAATCAACAAAAGATTTACCATTCCTAGCAAAGAAAGTTTGTTGATTAAATTATTGAAGATTAATTAGATGTTGATTTTTTGAGCTAATTTTGTTCTAAACAACAAAGCTCTTTTTTTAATCTTGATGGTATTGTTAATTATCAAAGTGGAAATTTTTGACAAAAGAGTATATACCAGAGGAGCTGTTGATGCTTTCAATTTGATTGCTCTTGTAATATTGGATAAATATTTTATATTTTTGCAATATTAGAAGATTTGCCATGGCATAAGTAAAGTTAAATGGATCAAATTACCATAACTAGCCATTGCCTTCAAATAACTATAACTAGCTCTTGCCTTTGCACAAATTGAATCAGCTGTTGGTCTTTTTAGCTCGTAAAACATTTTTATGTAACTGTGTTACAACCTTGACAGATATTTTCATTTACTTTTAGTAAAAACTATTTAATAATTTTATTTCATGTTTGGAAATGTGTTAACATTATGCTCAGATTCTTTCATTTTTCATTATTGATCACTTTCCTTGCTTTATCAGATTTTCTGTTATTGAATAAGTTTAATAATAATAATAATAATAATAACAATAATTTATAGCATCTTATGTATTTCATGTTTCATTAAAAAAACTCAATAATTAAATAATAAAAAACTCTGTTAATTTAAAAAAAATAAATTTTACTTTTACTTAGTTCAAGTTTTTAAATAAGTTTTGGAACATTTAATTACAAAATCTGAAATGAAAATATGACAAAGATTTTGAAGTTACATAAATTAGTGTATTTTACAATGAGAATGCTAAATGTTTTTTAAAAAATAACAATAATATATTAGTAAATGTTTTTAAAGAAAATAAAAATAATATATTTGTTAAAAAAACAGTTTCTAATTTCATCTAAAATAAAGTTAAAAGGTTTCATTTTTTCTGTAATAAATTTTTTCATTGTTAGTAATTTGCAATGTTTTATTTAATAAAACTTTTTTAAATTGAAAAGTAATTTAACATCTGTTTTACATTGAAGGGTGGTGTTCGGTGTCTGCAATTTGATGATTTATATATTATAACAGGTTCATGGGATACAACAGTGATGGTAATGTTCTTCATAGTTACTATTTCTTTTTATTTAATAGCCTTAACATTGTTATATTTAATTCATAGTTTGATAACACACAATTTTTTGTTTACTTGATTTAAATTTTAGATTATTTTACAAAACATATAAAACATAAATTTAATGCTTTTAGATTTGGGATGTAAGCAATTTATCTCATATTAAAACATTAACTATTCACAAGGGATGCGTGTCATGTCTAGAGATTTATGGAGACATTTTGTAAATGTTAAAAACTTTTATTTTCTATTTATATAAAGTTTTTTTTAATTTAATTTTTTTCCTTTTTTCATCAAAATGTTTTTTTTTTGGATACTGTTTAGTTTTACCAAATCATAGTTTTTGAGGTTATAGAATTGAAATAGGGGAAAAAAAGAAATTTATTAAATACATAAATTATTAATCTCTTCCATATGAGTCTTGACCCTAGCAATCAGGAGTTATTTTCAATATTTGAAAAAGAGTTATTTAGTAAAAAATATCAAATTACATTTCAATGTGCCAAAATATTATTATGCTTGATCTTTGTAAAATAGCTGAATATAAAAATTTCAAAATTATTATGTTAAAATGATATTATTTTTTACTTGATTTGATTTAAATTTTCAGGATTTATATCTTTGAATCTCAATAATTTAGAATAACTGGATCACATGATAAATCTATATGCATAGTTCAGAGACATACATGGTGTTTGTTGAAAACCTTATCTGGACACACAGGTATTTACTCTTATACTTTATTAGACAATTTTTCCTATTAAATGTGTCTAAGAATTTTTTTAAGTCTCTTTATGTTGTACTGTTCATTTGTCACTTAGTACTTTATAATAATCAAATTTGTGGTTCTAGTCATGCTATCTATGGTTTTGTTTGTTACTTATAACTAAAATGATTTTGTTCATGTTTATAACTAAAAGAACTTTTAGAGATTCTTCTAGTTATAAGCGTGTAAATAAACTTTGTGTATATAATTGTCAGCTATTGTTTAGTTTTTTATTCAAATTATGCAAAATATAATAAAAATATAAAATTCAGGTTAACTAAAAAATCTATTTCAAAATAATAGTTGTTTAGATAAAGATTTTAGTGTGTTTGTTTTTGTAAATCTTTTTCTTTGGAAATGTTTTGCCAATAAGCTTTCAATTTATAATAAATTGTCTTACTTATGATGTTAAACTGCAACATCATTATGCTAAATGTTTTATACCTTTGATATTATAAGTGATAAAACTGACTTTTTTTAGAAGTTATTTAAATACAAAATTTTAATTCAAATTTATTTAATAAATTTCAAAATACTTATTTTAACAAATTTTAAAACGTAACATTACTTACTCTGCAAAAGTTTTATCAGATACTTTTTTGATAGTTAAAATTAAAACTCCTCACTCCGCCTTCTGTTGGCATATCAACATTAACTTGTTTGCTTGATTTTTAAGTTTTTAAATTTTTTTAATTAGTAATTTTTTTTTGAAACTGTCTTCCAAAATTTATAATAGCAATTTTGATAATTTGCTATATAGTAGCACACATTTTTTACTATGCACATTTGAAAAATTTTTCTTTCAACTTTGAATCAATGCACTGCATTGAACAGCTTTTGATGTTTCCTTAATAGTAACTTTGATGCTTTCATAGTAATTTTTTTATTTTTTGTTGGTTTAGATGTTTGTATAGTTTTTGCATCAAATTATTATTTAATTACGATCATTTAAATACTTTTTACTCCAACAACATCTGTCTAATATCATCTAGAAATTCAATGACCCCTAACAACATCTTTAGGAAGATGTAACTACTTATTGGAGTTTAATTCAGTACGAAAAAATCTCACATGAATGAAATAAAAGCCGTAGCCCTAAGTTTGATATAGTTGAATAGTTACAGTAAATCAAGTTGATTCACTTGGTTTATGAGTTTTTCAGATTTTAATTGATTTAACAATGGAGTGAAATAATAGTTTCGCATCAATGGAAGCCATTACATAAACTACGCTGGGAAGGATATACCTGAAAGAAAATCTGGCAAAGATTGTTAGTAAATTAATATTTGTTTTTGACGCGTTATATTTTTAACGCCCTAATGGCTGTGCTAAAATATGTAAATATTAAAGCAACAAAATTTGTAGACATACAAACCTTAAAATAAAATTTCTAAAATACTAGGGTTATCAATGTTTTCTTGATATAAAAAGTTGTTTAGGTTTACAAAGGAAATCTACCTAGTATGACCTAAATAAGCTAAATTTTGTATTACCTAACTTAACCTTGAGTAAACCCTATTTTATCTATTCCTAACTGAAGTAATTTAACCCCTTTTCCTTGTCTTTGAATTTCTTAGAGTATGCCTTTCTAACTTTTTTTGTTGCTTTATTAAGGTGCAGAAGAAAGTGTTTTGAAGTCATTGGAGAAAATGAACAACTAAAGGTATTCAACATGTTTTTTAGTCTCAAAACTAAAAATGAACAAGATTGCCATCTGTAGTCATTGATGCGTACTGCTTGAGGTAGCAAAAAGAGAATACGTAAGCCCTTTAATGAGTCTTCAAAGCCAGAGCAAAGTGGCGGCCATGGCTTAGTGGTTAGAGTGCTTGCTTTATAAACAGGAGATCCAGGTTCGAAACGAGCCTTGGACATATTTTGCATATATCACGGTAAGAAAGGAGGCGTGAACTTTCTGGATAAATGCACTTCCGCGGTGCTCTGTGACAAGACCATTAAGTCC